AGTGCCCAAGTGCTCGAATTGGTCAGTCCGCCCTGGACAAGACCATGTGCACAGATGGATGAAGAAGTTTAGGCAAGGGGGGAACAGCACTAAAGACAACACAGTGGGAGGCCATCAACTTCAACCACTGCCTGCACCTGTCCTCCATCAAGAACTCTCAATGATGGAACATGGCTTCTACTTGGAGTCTACTATTTACGCAATGAAAAAGAAGAAGACGAGTTACTATAGAGGAAGAGTTACTCCAAACAACATGTGAAATTTGCATGACCTATGTAAGTTGATAAAAATAAGTTATAGGAAATGACAAGGCACAGGTACTACAACACGCATCCATCACATCAAATATCAGAAAATGATAACATGTACCTTGAGGAGCAGCTTGTGACGTCTGACCTGCAGGACACCTCGCTGTTACTACATCCAAATGAGGTACACATGACAAGGAAGAAGAAATATTCTGTATAAGGTTCAAGTCCTAAAACAATCAAAAGAGAAAACGAATTGGTTGCAAAAGCAGCAGAAAAAAGCATGGATATAGAGTAAATATATCATCAGGAGTGTTTTGGTATAATCTATTCAATAAGATAAAAAAAATCCTGTTGATCCTGGCAGAAATTTTGCAAGCTGATAACATCCTGTGCACGCGGCCTCTGCTGTACTGAAATCTCAAGCATTGTAATCAACCCTACCCAGTTCAACTTGGGTTCCTTTCCGCTATGGTTTGGGGATGATAAGAAAGGGAGGTGTTCTGTAGTCCTTTCCTAGGATGACAACTCACTAAATAGATACATTACAGTGAAATAGCGTTGTCACCCTAGTAATCTTGCCATCTTGTTTCTGGCAAGATTACTAGGTGAATCAATAGGAGGAAAAAAATGTACTATTAAAGTGTTACTAAACCCCAGACCCTGCATTCACTATATCCGGTCTCCCACAGTACACAAAACAGCAGTTTTATCAGCAGTTAGAGCAGTCTTGTGACTTCAACTGAGCACTGGTTAAAGCTTGTAGGAGGAGTTTTCTTTCTGCTCTTGGAGGATGCAGAACCCCTGACCTCTGTCTGGACAGTGCTGATTGGCCCTGTACTGATCACATGCACTCTCCCAAGAAAAAAAAAACCTCTCTAGCAATAGACACTAAACTGACCATGTGCAGAAGTAATACGGGTTCAGTCTGTCTTATCAGTGTAGACTTTTGAACAAGAGGAGGGGGCAGAGAAGTCAGGATCAAACTGCCATTTTACACAGTGCAGAGGATTAACCCCTTAGGTTCCACAAGCATGCTTTACTGCATATACAAACTGATTTTACTGTTGTGGGTTTAGTAACACTTTAACCATTTTATCAATTATTAGTTTAAGGATCAACTTCAGCCCAAACAATTTTCTTTTTTTTAATTTTTTGATACAGTAAGGAAGGGTTGCAACTTTTATTGTTCTCTGTGTTCCTATTGTAAAGATAAATACAAACCTCTCCAAATTCTAAAACTTTGGTTTATGTACATCGTTACACCACCAAGATCAGCACATTTTAAGTATTTAAGTGTTCCTGATCAGCTGCAGGCAGTAAATCTGTCCAGATCAATGACAGGCTGACACTGTCTGCTGCTTTGCACATGTACTCACACGTGGAGTAATTACCTGTGTTTGAGGATGGTTGTGCTGCACAACCTACTTATACACAGGTAATCACTACAAGTATGATTACAATGTCAGCCTGTCATTGATTTGATTTGTGCGCCCCTGGATGCTTGCCGTGTGTGTCTAGAAATGCACATCTCTCCCTAACCATAGGAAATTACTCCATGTATGATTCCGTGTGAACAGATGCTGCCATTTTCAACCTGTCTTTGTTGTGTGCAGGTTCCCTGTTCACGAAATGTTTGGAAACTGCTGGTCGAACTTGCCACAGAAATACGCTGATCTGGGGGGGTGTACTGCCTTAATTGGCCATGTGAATGAGCCCATAATATGAGCAACGTAATTTAGAAATTGTACAAATATTTTTTACTGCTGTCTATGCTTTTCTGTCCAGGTGACTACCCCATTCCCTATTTTTTAATAGGTGTCACAGGGATGGGAAGTGAGGGATAATCTCTTAAACTTGACAAAAATCTTAAAGTGGTATTAAATGCAAACATTTACTATATTGCAAATTGCCATTTCTTAGCTGTGATGGCTGCATTGGTTTTCTTTTGTAGGGTTTCTTTCTTTTAATTTCAGCTGGTGATGGTCAGTAAGTCTGTTGTTTTTTCAACTGAACAAGCTCTCCTGCAATTGCAGAGTGTTGAGACAAACCATTTATCACTAGCAGGGGGTGTTTACAGTGATCAGTTTTTATTTATGTAAAACCTTTATCCCAAAATGAAAAAAAAAATTGGTGTTAGTGTTTATAACGTTTGAGCTGGAGTTTAGCTTCAATTTGTAATTTTATCTAAATCTGCTAGTACATCTACTCCCCCCTCCCTAACTGACAATGCTACTGTCTGCTGTGCCTGCTGTGCTCTCTCCTCCAGAGTGGAGTGGGGACACTCTAATACAGGAGGTGTATTACTGGCCAGATCACCAGGTGGAAACAGAGGGAATAAAAGCCTAAAAAAGAAAATAAATGCCACCACATCTAATGATTGGTAAGCTGCAATATATTTAATTTTGGTTTTGGATTTGTTACCAAACTCAAGCTAGAGTTTTTAGAATTTTTATTGGTTTTATGGAAAGGAGTTGTAGAAATAGATGTATATTCACAGACGTGTAGGCTGGATTAAAGCAGTCTTTGTATGTATTCTTAGTAAAGCCGGCCATAGATGGATCGAAATTTGGCTGGTTCAGCAGGAACTGAACGCATTTTGACCCATCTATGGTCAGGCTGGTTGTACTGAGGTTGATCTATCAATCAACTTTAGTACAAGCAGCCTGTTGGGTTCTTTTTAGAGCAATCGCTTCCGGCAGCTATAACATAAATGGAACAGTCCTTATAGGATGTATAGAACAGTCCCCTTATTCCATGATGAGTAATTGATGACAGATTGGAGGCTTACCAGATCCTTTGACCCCTTGACTATAGGATGTCAACAAACGCCTGATATAAAAAATTCCATCCAGACTCATAAAGCTCAAATCAAATCACATGCATCATCAGAGGCTCTTCAAACCGTCCCGATCTTGTGGGGTTGACTTACGCTTCTTCACCTTCTTCTTCTCAATCAAGGGGTCAAAGGATCTGGTAAGCCTCCAATTTGTCATCACAGTGGTGCAGTATTCACTTTGGTGGTTATATTGGAATGAAGACTTTCCAATTACTCATCAGGAAATAAGGAACTGTTCTATACATCCTATAAAGACTGTTCCATATATGTTAACTTTATTTGCACTTCAATTTCTGGCATTGGTCCACTATTGAGCACTTCTTTTTTCTGTCCTTCATTGGATATATATTGTACATTATTTATGTAAATTTTTTATTTTATTTCATACTTCACTTAGTGCAACACTAGAGATTTATTTACATTTGTAAGACTGCATGACTTTGGAGTGCAACTTTGACACAACTTTGATGAAACTTTGGATGGGTCCAACTTGGATACGGCTTTCATTAATGATAATGGACAACTGTTGTATAACATGCGGGTTCAACTTTCATACGACTTTTGAGGGTTTACATTGCAGTCTATGGCAATCTCAAGTTTGATATTCGAACCTTATGTTTATCATTAGAGATGAGCGAAGAAATGAAAAATTCGATTCGACTGATTCGGCGAATTCTGTGGACAATATTCGATTCGAGTCGAATAAATTCGCTGTGAATTTAACTTAAAAAAGGGTGTTTCTAGCTTCAGAGAGACTTAATATTAGTGCAGAACACTGTACCTTTAATTTAAATGCCCTTGGAGTCTGCTGGGGAAGAGAAATAATACTGTCAGTCAGTATGACATGCAGATGAGTGCCGTCGATCTTAGAATCACCGCACACTTCATCATTTGGGCAGTCACGGGGCCAAAACCAGAGTGTGGAGCCACAGTGTGTGGCGGTGGAGGCAGCAGCAATGGGAGGCCATACAGCACCCTATGACAAAAATGGAAACCACCAGCAGTGTGTGAGGAGACCTGAAAGTGGCACATGGCAGAGTGTGGCGATAGAGACAGCAGCAATGGGAGGCCGTACAGGGACCATGACACACTCTGGACCTGGCAGCAGCATGAGGAGGCGGTACAGGGGCCCATGACAGATTACGGGCCTGGCAGCAGCATGAGGAGTCGGTACAGGGGCCCATGGCAGATTACGGGCCTGGCAGCAGCAATGGGAGGCCGTACAGGGACCCTTGACACACTCTGGACCTGGCAGCAGCATGGGGAGGCGGTACAGGGGCCCATGACAGATTACGGGCCTGGCAGCAGCATGAGGGAGTCGGTACGGGGGCCCATGACACACTCTGGACCTGGCAGCAGCATGAGGAGGCGGCGGTACAGGGGCGCATGACAGATTACGAGCCTGGCAGCAGCAACTTGGACAGGAGGACGTTCAGCTTCTGCACCGTCGGGTGCGTGCTCGCAAACTGTTGTCTCTTTGGAACGGATTCCAAGAAAGACTGCTGACGGAATCCGTGAAGAGGAGTAGCAGGAGAAGGAGCATCTGAACGAGCGGAATATGCCAACAAGCGACAACAGTGGCCCATGACAGATTACGGGCCTGGCAGCAGCATGAGGAGTCGGTACGGGGGCCCATGGCAGATTACGGGCCTGGCAGCAGCTATGGGAGGCCCGTAATCTGCCAGCACCCTATGACAAAAAAGGAACCCACCAGCAGTGTGAGGAGACCTGAAAGTGGCACATGGCAGAGTGTGGCGATGGAGACAGCAGCAATGGGAGGCCGTACAGGGACCATGAGAGACTCTGGACCTGGCAGCAGCATGAGGAGGCCGGTATAGGGGCCCATGGCAGATTAGGGGCTGGGCCTGGCAGCAGCTATGGGAGGCCCGTAATCTGCCAGCACCCTATGACAAAAAAATGGAACACACCAGCAGTGTGAGGAGACCTGAAAGTGGCACATGGCAGAGTGTGGCGATGGAGGCAGCAGCAATGGGAGGCCGTACAGGGACCCATGAGAGACTCTGGACTTGGCAGCAGCATGAGGAGGCGGTATAGGGGCCCATGGCAGATTAGGGGCCTGGCAGCAGCTATGGGAGGCCCGTAATCTGCCAGCACCCTATGACAAAAAATGGAACACACCAGCAGTGTGAGGAGACCTGAAAGTGGCACATGTTTGGGGCATGATTCATGGCGGATTTAGTCAGTTGTGTCAGGAACTGGTGGTTTGAAATCCAGACTAATCCACGCCTGATTCATTTTCACAAACGTGAGTCTCTCCACACTTTGGGTGGACAGTCGTGTCCTCCGCGGAGTTGCAATACCTCCTGCCGCACTAAACACGCGCTCCGATGCCACGCTACTGGCCGGGCATGACAGCCTTTCAAGGGCAAATTCAGCTAGTTGGGGCCAAAGGTCAAGTTTCGTTGCCCAGTAGTCAAGGGGATTGTCTACCTCGGTTGGGCAGGGTGCTGTCCAAGTAGGCCCTAAGCCTGTTGTTTGAGGTCCTGCTCCAGGTCCACCTGATGCTGCTGCTGCTGCTGGGCTGGTTAGTAGTTTCCTCACTGCGCTGGTGAAGAAAGCTACTCATCATCGACTGCAGACTGAGGCAGCCGCTGCTGGTGGAGCTGCCACTGCTCCTACCACCCCACCCCTCCTCCCTGCTGCCATGGCAGCGGAACGCGAGCGCACAGGGCCCACAGTGTCTGAGGATGGACGTTGGCGCAGACAGGCAGAGACCAACGTTATTTTGGCCTCCTCTCAGCAGGTGTGAAAAAGGCCACCATTTTTGAACGGTAGCGAGGGTCCAAACAAGGTGGACAGCCAAAAGTCATCCCTCTGTCTGATGGTTATTATTCGGCTGTCGCTACGCAAGCAACCGAGCATGCTATGGGCCATTTGTGCCAAGGAATGCGAGGGGACTCCCTGCCTCCATCTCCACAGCATACTGCCACGGTGCGTCTGGGTCCTCTGTCTCCTCTCCTCCTCCTCTACCAGATGCTCCTGCTCCTCCACTCCTGTCCGCTGAGTGGAAAAACCACCCATTTCACTCAATAATTCCTGAGCACAAAATGTCCTCCTCTACCTCCTCCTCTTCTTCCAGTCCTGCCCCACAGGGGCCATGTGGCGTTGAGATCTGTGCGCACGTTCTACCGCACCCTGACCAGCAATTGTTAACAGCAATTTGTTCCAGGACGTGCAACAGAGGAATGACGTCGTTCATCCAAAGTCCTGCCGATCTACGTAAATAGCGTGGCCTCCTCAAAGGGGCCTGAGCAAAGCGAAGGTGTCACGCATGAGCTAGCCAATGGCTGACATCTAAGTTACACATGGGAGTAACCTTGTATCTGCTTTTAACATCAGGAAATCTGTGATGGCCTTTTGCTGTTCGTAGAAGGGGGGAAAGGTGGTGTCTAAGACATAGGTAGGGTTGAATACTCTCACCTTAGAGTCATGCAACGTCAGACATGCAGAATGTAGGAGTGGCTTGTAAGTGGTGCACACATGCGACCAGCAGATGTAGGGAGGCCTGGGAGTGTTATGGCGTGAGGCCCATAAATGTCTGACCCGCACCCTATGACAAACTCAAATGGAGAACACCATTGCCGACAGTGTGTGGCTCGGAGGACCTGAAAGTGGCCATGGCGAGTGGGCGTGGAGACAGAGCAATGGGAGGCCCTACAGGGCCCATGACAGACTCTGGGGCTTTGGGAGCAGCA